TGGAAAACAAATAATCATTTCGAATCTCTAGTGGTGGCCGAGGGGTATATCAAATTATTATCGAAATGGAGGGGGTATGCACTAGTGTGTAATCTGCATGGTAGTTAGTCCTACATAATTTCGAAATGAGGGGGTCTCCAAATTATTATTATTATTATTATTATTATTATTATTATTATTATTATTATTATTATTATTATTATTATTATTATTATTATTATTATTATTATTATTATTATTATTAGGGCAAATTACCAAAACCCCCCTGAGGTAAGCCTAAATAACGAAAATCCCCCCCATGTTCTCGTAATTACGAAAACCCCCCTTGACTAACGGTTGACCGAATTTTTTTAACCGAAAACGTGAAATGTCTATTATATCCTTCTGTTAAATATGTAAAAAATAAAGGGCAAATTACCAAAACCCCCCTGAGGTAAGCCTAAATAACGAAAATCCCCCCTGACATCCCTTTCAGTTGATGATTTATTGATTTTATAAATTTATTTATTACTTTGTAATTTGTATTGATAATTTGATATTATAATTTTTTATTTTTTTTATTTATATATTTTAATTGATTTTATTTATCCAGAGGAGTATTCATACGGATTTATGCTTTTAGCTTGAATGATGCATGGTTGTATTTCTCGAATTGTAAAATATTTAATTTTATATATAAAAAATAATTATATTTTGAAATCTCATTCATTGATTTTTTTTAATCCAATAAAAATACATTGTACATTCATAATGATTGATTATATTTGGGTTTAATTTAAGAAAAATAAGTATTTTGCAGACACTTATATATTTTTTTATTTATATATTTTAATTGATTTTATTTATCCAGAGGAGTATTCATACGGATTTATGCTTTTAGCTTGAATGATGCGTGGTTGTATTTCGAATTGTAAAATATTTAATTTTATATATAAAAAATAATTAAATTTTGAAATCTCATTCATTGATTTTTTTTAATCCAATAAAAATACATTGTACATTCATAATGATTGATTATATTTGGGTTTAATTTAAGAAAAATAAGTATTTTGTACATTCATAATGACCCCTCATTAAATAAAATGCTTACAATTACCCCCCTAAGGTTAATTTCGTGTACAAGGGCAAAATTGGTATTATCGGAGGAATATTCGGGAGAATCAAAAAGATTCTATCGAGTCTAACACCGTTAGAGCGATTTGTAAGACGTCTGCATACCTCAGGGGGGTTTTCGTAATTACGAGAACATGGGGGGAATTTTCGTTATTTAGGCTTACCTCAGGGGGGTTTTGGTAATTTGCCCTCATTATTAATTATTATTTCAAAAATATCTGAATGTTTAGGCCGAAACAAAAATAACTAGTGTAGTAAAAACATCATTTTGACTTGTATGCGCCCAAATTTATTTTATTTACTGGGGATCAATTATATTAAATATATTGAATTCCATTTCTTTTTCTTGAATTCTCTACATCCTTAATATATTGTTCGATTTTCATATAGAATTGTGCGCACAAAAAACGACCAAAATGGCACAAACAACGACCAACCTCATTGATCTTAAGCCGTGTCGATTTGACTGGAAAGTGGTGGTTCGGGTCATGCGACTGTGGAAAGTTCCTAGCAAAAACAATCCAAATGAAATGATCAGTATCGATATGGTCTTAATAGACAATAAGGTCGTTATTTATTTACGCGTTTATTTCGCTTATGGTTAAAACAATATTTTGATATAATTTCTAATGTTTTTTTTAGGGTGACAAGATCCATGCTTCTATAAAATGTAATCCCTTGAAAAAGTTTGAACTTATTGTGAATGAAGGTAATACCTACATATTTCAAAATTTTATGGCGGCTCCAAGCGATCCAAAATTCAGATCAACTCGCCATACTCACAAGATTGTGTTTATTAGCACTACTCGAGTAACTGATTTCCTTGCTGAAAATATTTTTGTTGTCACTTTTAATTTTACGGATTTCCATGATATCATTAATGAATGGGATGATACATGGCTTATAGGTAATTTCATTTTGTTAGATTATGTGTTCCATTAATTTATACCAAAGATTTCAATTTTTGTGTATAACAATTATTTCCTTTTAGATGTTATTGGACATATTATTGAAAGGGATGCTTTGAGATAACTAAACAAAAATGGGCGGAGCCACAAGCTGTTGGAAGTCGGCCTTCAAGACTTATCGTAAGTATCCGTTGTTTAATTTATTATTGTTTATATTTATTTTTATTTCTTAAATGTTCAATTGTTATTTTCAGTCGCAACAAACTTAGATGTGCTCTATCGGACAAATATGCTGAGGAACTGTCCACACATTTGATCAATGACATATCGGATAGCCCTATCATTATTATTTTGCAATTATGCATGGTAAAAAGTTTCAATGGTAAGTACTTACATGTTGATTGGATTAAGTTTAAGTTATTGTTAATGATCTACTTTATTTATTTGCATTGTAGGCAGGAATAGTATTTCCAATGCTTTCCACAGCAGTAAGTTACTAATAAATGAAAATTTAGAGGAACATAGAGAGTACAGAGAAAAGTGAGTTTGTTCAACATAACAAATATTATTTTAAATTTTATTTTATCTCATAATTTGTTGTTATGTATTTGTACATGAATATAGATTGATGATGCAAGCTGGAACATTTTCTCAATCAATTAGTCAACTATCAACTCAGCGGTTCATTGGAATTTCTGATGATTTACTTCAGACAGAACATATGACAATCAGTGATTTAATGGATTACACAAGTATATAACCTTTTGTAGGCTTATTTCATAAATCATATAAGACTAATGTAAAATAATTTTTCAGGAACGCTCTGTTGCGTTGCTTGCTAAAGTAGTAGAAATAGACTGTGAGAGTAAATGGTGGTATCCATCATGCTCAAAATGTTTTAAGAAAGTTGATTGTAATGGTGTTCAATTCTATTGTGAAAAGTAGGGGTGGTTTCGGTACGGTTACCGAACATTTTGTTCAATATCGTGTACCTACCGTATCTTTCGGTATTGAAAAATTCTATACCGTTACCGTACCAACAATTGCGGTATACCGTTATTCGGTATACCGTTAGTTTCGGTACGGTATGATCGGTACGTGGTAATCTACCGTACGTCATTTTGTTGATGAACTCGGATGATACAATAATTAAGATGAATACTAATTAAATGCATAAATACAACAAATTAAGCAAATGAAAATGGTAATCAAACAATTTACATGAATATACATTATACGACCGTAATAGCGTATGTTGCTTCAATTAACTAATGATTACTAAGATATGTATAGAAAAATTGTAGAAATTAATGAGCAAAAAGTTTCATGGTTTAAGTAAGATAAATAAAAAAATTATGGTTGAAGTAATCTACTAGGAAATATTGATGGTCTAACCAATAATTATGAATTATGATCACGTACCCATAATTATGGATTAAAAGTTCAAACAAATTCAACAAATGAGTGGAAATCCAACTCCATAAGCTTTTTAGCTTATGGAGTCCAACCTTATTAAGGTTGTATTCGCAAAAGCTTTTAGAAAGTGAATATTGTTGTCTCATCACTCTCTCCATATACTTCTCCACCCTCCATCTTTAATGGCCAAAACAAAAATAAATTAAATAGCATATATTTTTTTTATATTCCTATACCTGTTTTTTTTTTTTTTTTTTTTAAGTTAATTTTTCAGCATAACAAACACCCCAACTTTTAAAAATAAACATTTAATACCAACTTAACTCACAAATACAAAATTTTACTTTTAAATAAGTCTTTGCAAACACCACATAATTAAAGCTTAATGATCCATGCCCATATCAAATTAATTACAAACAATAGTTCTAAATCTTCAATTATGTGATTATAAAAAAATAAAATAAATAAACCAAAAGATCTCATGAAATGCATCCAAAAAAAAAACGTCTTTTATATTTTCTACAAATACATAGTTTCCCTTAAGAACTCTCAAATCCTTCCCTTTTTTTTTTCATTCTTTGAAATACATTACTTAAATAAAACAATCCTATACAAAATAATGTAATAATAAGACAATTGTATAGATGACAATATTTAATACTACTAGGAATTAATTATAATAATTAATTACTTATACAAGTGCTATTATAAACTTGGGTCCTATGTATCTTGTCATATTTATCAGACAAGACAACCAAACATTGGAGTTGATGATGAAATTTAGGTTGGAATATTCCCCAAATTACATGAAAACTTGATCTTAATTTAACTTTAACAAGCAAAGGCAATCCTTGACCAGATTCTAGCAAGTCTTGCATGTTTCTTCCTGCACCATACATTGCCTTATTTCTTGTCCCAATTTTGAAATTGAATATTGTTGTTTAATGGCCAAAACAAAAATAAATTAAATAGCATATATTTTTTTTATATCAACATATTAAAAGCATGTAATTTTATATATTTTTTTATCAACAAATTAAAAGCAGGTAAATTTTTTTAAAATGTAAAATATATATACTACTTTATTTACATATATATATATATATATATATATATATATATATATACAATTATGCCAGGAATTTTTTATTTTTGCCTCGTATTCTTTTTCTGGTGAATTGCATGCTTTACTTAAAATAAAATCAATTACCCTCAAGCTAACAGTCCGTTAGAAATACTAACAGAAATTATGAAAAAGCTAAATTACTTCAAATAAAAAGGAGAACAAATTAAATTACCACTAATATTTGATTTTACGAACCCAATATTTTATTTTTAATTTTTTTAAAACCATAAAATTTTAAATGACAAATTTAAAGAGTTCGAAACGACCATATTAAATAACTCTTAAAAAAATTATTTTAAATCCCCCTTTAAATTTTAAACTTTACAATTTGCCTCCCGAGGGGTAAATTTTATTTTTTTTAAAGAATCTCATGAGGGTTAAATGTAATTTCTTGAAAATAGGGATTTGTTTTGTAATTAAACTAAATAAGGATAGTAAAACACAATGAATTTTTGTTTCCTATGTGTAATGAAATTTGAATTTGACAATGGAAAAATAAAAATGGGAAACACAATATAACAAATTGCTGACCTATGACACTGCAAAAGGGAGATGGCCAAAAAGCAATTGAATGAATGGAGGATTGATGTGAAGACCAAATAGCTTGGACTTATTTTCTATTATTAAATCAATTGAACAATTGCAGCTTAATATTTTCGTCGATGCACCAGAGCCGTCCACTCCCTCGGCTAATCTGAACCCTCCAATTCCTCCAATCTGCACATTTATTAATTAATTAATGATGACCACCATTTTTTTTATTATTTTTTTTTAACGTAGCAACCAATAGCCAACCATATATGTGTACTTGGTAAATCTACAATTTCGTATAATAGTTTGCAAATCATATTTAGGTCAATTGACACATGCTCACTTGGTCCAACTGCTAGACGATCTTTATATTTTTATTTAAAATTCAATTTGAGTCGATTGAAATTATGACTAGAGACTTGATAAAATCGAACGTTTTTTAGTATACTAATTCGCTTGTCTTTAATAATTATTTTTTTTTCTCCAAAATATAACACGATCACCCCGTCATTTTTCTATCGAATTTATTTCCTGCAACTTTTCAACAATAACATTTTATCATAATAGCACATCATTAATGGGAAAATTATAGTTTCCATTCCTCAAGTTTGTACCAGTTTTACATTTGGTCTTTTATGTTCACAAAAAACACATTTGGTCCCTCATGTTTCTACAATTTGACACTTATGATCATTTCCGTCAATTTACCGTTAGTCCGTTAGTTATGAGAGTGACGGACACATGCTTGATTCCATTAGTACTAACGAAATATTAACCAGAAGAACGGAAAGTGTTAAATTATTGAAACACGAGGGACTAAATGTGAAATCTAGGAAAACTCGAGGGTCGAAAAGTGTAATTTTCGCCATCATTAATCGTTCATATCACGAGTTTTTTTGAATATGGAGAGGATCATAAACTCGGACTGAAGAAATTTTTGAAATTTTTAGAGGAATATTCATATTTTTCGATAGATTTTACGCTTGAACCTGATGCATGCTATTTAGTTGTGCAAATTAATTTAAAGAGTGACCAAAATCTGTGCGTCAATTAAAAAAAAATATAGGAAAAAATACAATTTTCATCCCTCAAGTTTGCACCGATTTCACATTTGATTCTCCGTGTTCACAAAAAAACACATTTGGTTCTTAATGTTTAAAAAAATCAACATTTTAGTTATTTCCGTCAATTTTCCGTTAAAAATAACGGAATTAAACGTGTACCTATTACTACTGTAACTGACGGACTAACGGTGAATTGACGGAAATGGCCAAAAGTGTCAAATTATTGAAACATGAGGGACCAAATGTGTTTTTTGTGAACATAGGGGACCAAATGTGAAATCATAACAAATTTGAGGGATGAAAACTGTAAATTTCCCATACTTATATATATAGAGATAAAAATAAACACAAGTATATATGTACGAACCTTAATAGAGATGTTAGGAGGGGGAGGCTTAGCAGCAATATAGAAAACAAACAAAGCAATGATCAAACTCAGCAAAAACCTCCAACTCAGCTGCACCAAAATCCACATCCCGGAATTCGAATAACCGAAAGATAAATACTTTATCCACCCTCGTTTTTTCTCTTCACCACCGTAATAATAATCTCGATCATCAAGTATCACTGCCTCATTAATATTATTACTATTATTAATATTACCATTTCGAAGCGCCTCGTGTGAATGTAGTTTCTTCTTATCAGCGGCTTGCAAAAACGAGTTGTTCGATCCACGAGAAGACGAGTAATGAGATATAGGAGAGTTGTTATTACACGAGTTTAAGTGGTGAAGGTGATTGTAATTGGACGAGGCGGTTGCATGGGAATTAACGGTCGAGGGTGGGCTTTGGACCAAGTATAGTGCCGCGTAGGGGTAAGATCGGAATAACGATTCTACTTCTTCCTCGTCGGAAGATTTCGCCATTGCCACCGCTACTGTGTGTGTGCTGTGTGAGAAAAAAAATGGCAAATGGTCACATGGGGTTTTTAAACCCACAAAATAAAGAGAGGTATATATAATAATACTTTGGGATTGCTTCAAATAATGCATTGTGGGTGACATAATTGTTAGATACTATATGATTGGATTTTATGGAAGACTTAATTTATAAGACTTATTTTAAGTAATTTTTCACTATTTTGAGGTAAGTTTGTTATTTTTGATTTCTACGAGCGTTCTATTCTACTTGAATTTTCGGTTGCTTATTTGAGCGTCAAAGGGTAATCGTCGAGCAACTCGCGCCGAATCACTTAATGTCTGCATTATTTTGTAGGTTGACGCGTGAATTCTTATTTGGCGTGTGGATTTTTTTTTGAACGTATTATTACCTCAGACACGCGGCATTAAGTTTCAGACTTGTTTTCGAACATCATCGGATGACTTGGACATGATTAACTAATTAATTAACACTAATTAATTATCATTCTAGTTTTTCATTGTTCATAGTAGATATCATTTTTTTTTAGTTTCATATTTTAATTTATAGCATCTAAATTTGTGAGTTTATCATTTTTCACCAATTATTTATTTCCACAATAAATCTAAACTAATGAAAAACAAAAAGAAAGAAATTTGAAAATTAATATAGATAGAAGATATACTTATTACAATCATTTTTTCTTGTTTTGGTTTAGTCGCTTCTCAAAAAATAAATAAATAAAATAAAATAAAATAAAATAAATAAAAAGAATCAATAAAGGAGAAAAACAATGAGAGCTAATCCGAGAAATACGGGAGAGACATCAATTGAATCAACTTAGTTTATTGCCTTTTCTCTTTACACCGATTTTTGCTCCTTTTGATGATCAATGGAATCATAACAAAGTAAGCACGCTTTTGGTTTAATACTAATAACAACTCTACATCTTAATTATTACTCCATTTATTTCTAATTAATTGTCGTTTTTAGACTTTGCAGAAGTATTAAAAATCTCAGTAAATGTGTCTTGATTTTAGAAAAAAACACATTAAAAGATTAAAATAAATTTGATCATTTAATAATGTGATAAGAGAGAATTAATACTTAGAGTTGAATTAACAAGGTTAAAACATGAAGAAAAAAAATGCATTTAATTCAGTATTTGAAAATGTAAAGTAACGAATAATATTAAACAAAAATATTTTAAAAATAGACAGTTATTATAAAATAGATGGACTGATCGAGTAGTCGTTAACAACTAAACGAGGACTTATATTATAAATAATAAAGAAATTGCGATTGAAAAGTATTTCATTTGAACTAGCTATTATACTAATTCAAAAAAAAAAATCATATAATGACTCTAATAATGGGTTGGGAAATTTCGTGTAATTTAAGAAAGATGGTGGTGAATTGGAATATAAGATTGGCCAATATATGCGTAGTAATAATAGATGGTAATGATGGAAGTGAGTGGTGTGGACTTAGTAGAAACATGATCTAAATAATTAAGAAGCAAGCTTTAGCTTTTTTGTAACTAGACATAATGAATACCACCAACATTTTCGTCAAATTATACTATTATTAAGTGAAATATATACTTGCTTCTCTCTATATTGTTCCATAAATTCTTTTTACTTTTTGTTTCTTTACTTATTTTAATACATTATCAGCACCGAGTTTGCTCAAATTTATGTTGTAACTAATAGAGAAAAAGTTGATATACATACGAATATTTCATCCATGGAGATTAGCTTTCACGATGATCCAAAAGAGGTGGACACTTCAGCTCTTGATGATGAAGAGAGAGATGATACATTCTAATTTATTGTAGTTTTGAGTTGACGAAAAAATAAAATTCTTATTTTTGTTGTAGGTGAATTGTCATGCGTTCACGAGTTCTGGCTTTGAGTCTACTTTCGGATATGATGTTCGAATCTGAGAAAGCGTAGAGCACGAAAGTGTGAGAACTTTATGTTGGTTGTCCGAAACATAATCAATCGCTGGAATCCGATGTCGAACGAGTGATTCGACAGATTTGGATTCATTTAGATATCCACCCATGTGGTACTTCATGTTAGAAATAATCTGAATATGCTCGAATAAATCCCAAGACCATCATGCACAGTACATGAATCCATAGAACCATTCGAATATTCGGAAGTTCAAAGAGGGTTGATTTTCCAAAGAAAACACGTTCCTTGTCTTCTATCTCAGACGATATATGGATTACCGGGAGAAGGGAATGAATCCTAACTGAACTCTAAGTGTCTCTACACATTGGGCCAACATTATTAATCCAATACCCATTAATCTAATTCAAATAACTGTAATTAATTACGTTTAATTAGATTATCTGTTTAATTAGATTATCTGATAGATAAACATACACATTTAATTTAATTACGATAGGACGTGGACGTACAGATTCTTTGTTAGTTCTGACTGTTCTTTTGAGAAACAAATTCAAATTAATTTAACGAACTGATTAATGATAACTTTTGAGAGGAGATTGACTTCAAAATACCAGGAGAGAAATATAATATGATTCGTAAACGCTAACATCATAGTCGCTTTGGCCGAGTGGTTAAGGCGTGTGCCTGCTAAGTACATGGGGTTTCCCCGCGAGAGTTCGAATCTCTCAGGCGACGTAATATATTTTGTATCTATATTTTTAAAAATGATAATGAATAAAGCGATCATTTTGGGGATAATTACACTTTTGGTCCCTCATGTTTGGCCCGATTTCACTTTTGGTCCCCCTTGTTCTAAAGTGAACAAAGTTCACCTCCAAGTTTCAATTTTAAACACTTTTGGTCCCTGCCGTTAAATTTCCGTTAGCAAGTAACGGAAAACACTATTTTGGGGTGAAAATTGAAATTTAAATTTTTTGGGTCTGAAAAATAATTACAAATTAATAATAATAATAAAAAAAAGAAACTAACCAAACAAATTATTTTTTTATTATACTTAATATTATTATAATTATAATATTTATAATTAAATTTTTAATAATAAAAAAAATTAACTAAACTAATTATTTTTAATCATACTTAATATTACTTTTAATTATACTACTTATGATAAAAACAAATTAATAACAAAAAAATTAATTAACTAAACAAATTATTTTTTTTATTATACTTAGTATTATTATAATTATACTACTTATAATTAAATTTTTAGTGATAATTTTTTTTTCCACTATGATAAAACGTTTTGGGGCCTCGTTGGTAATAAAAAAAAACCGAAGCGATCCTATCGATTCTTTTGTTTTTAATAATAAAAAAGAAATTTATTAAATAAATGATTGTGAATTATACTTAATATAGTTTTAATTATACTACTTATGATTATTTTTTTAATAATAAAAAAAAGTAATTAAATAAATTTCATTATACTTAATATTATTAAAAATTTAATTATAAGTAGTCTACTTTAAATTTATAATTATTCTCAGCCCCAAAAAAATTTAAAA